TACATAAATCGATTGTTTTGAAATTCTAAAGCAGTACTCCAAATGCTTTTAAAAACCACACGTGTTAAATCATTATTTTATTAAGTTTTTTATTGTTCGTTTATCTTCACCTCTTCTACATTTATTCCGTGTCCTTGTGGTTTGATGTTGGCTGTGAAGTTATCTTTATGTTTCGCGTAATAATATTCAAATTGAGAATAAAGCATAAACAGTTAAAAGGAATGATTAAACGACTAGAGCTGCTGTTTATGTTGTAAATAATTTATATGAGTATGAAATTTTTTTTACAGGGATGCTAAAGTACTAGAGAAGCTGATTTAAAATAAATTATTACGTGTCTCCCTGAAGATGGCTCAGAAACAAACGAATCATGCAGGGCGAAATGTAAATAAAATAAGGTTTTACAAGAAGATGGCTGTGTTGTAGCGTCATGTAATCTAGTAGGAGGACCACTGAAACGTCGGTAAACTTCTACCAGACTACACTGTGGTAAAATCCATAAGACATACATACATCGTATGTATAATTTCAACATGGGAGCATGATAGTGAATAATATGAAGGATGTTGAAGAAAGCGATCGTGGCCTAATTTAAGGTACTATCCCATAATTTTCATGAAGGGTTTGAGGAAACACGAGAAAAATATAATTTGAATGTGTATTCGACCCCTACCATTCTCTCTACGATTCTACCTAATTGCAGTTACATTTCTAGTATTCGACAGAGAAAATGCCTTCCTACCACCAATAACAATCTTAATAACAAAATCCAACAATACTTAATGAACCGCAATCAGAATCACATTCATCATCATCCTAATCTGAACGTCCTTCTAAGATTACGAACCTCACAGAATACAAGGGACATGTAGGATTTGATGTTCTCGTGACTGTGAAGATACCAACGTTTCGGATAAACATGCTGTCTGCATCTTCATGGCCAAGAAAATGGAGGCAGAATGTGTTTTTTACCGAAACGTTGGTATCTACGTATGAGTCTACACGGCGTCAACCCAAAAGAACATATATATAGATCACCATATTCTTCATATTATTCTTTTCTGTCCACAACGGTCGTAATGCTTTGTTGGGCGTCGTCCTAACTGGGAGTATAGAATTTCCAGGTTATAGGAACAAAAACAAATGCTTCTTATGTAGGATTTGAGGTTCTTACTGAGGTGGCTGTCGTCTGGGTTGTAGCACCTTGTAGTCTGGCCCTGATGATGGATGCAGCAAGGACCTCTGAAACGTTGGTAAATTTCTGTCAGACTACACGTTACTAATATCTAGAAGACGGCCATCATGCAAGTACTTGTTATGGTTTCCTGCTTTGTATCTGGTCATAGCCTATATGTGTAACCATGGAAGAATCTTGTAGCCCTTACGCGAGGACAGTGGGCTCTGCAGCGGTTCACAGCAGAGCAGCTGGTGTCATGCAAACAAGTCCCGACATTCCACAAGACAGATTGCAGGGACAGTCAGTTGTCTCACTAACGAACTGGTCTTATATCTGTCTAGAATAGTTGACAGGGCGTTGTATTTGCAGGGAGTTCAATAATACCGTGTAATACTATCTGACTGAGGTTTGTCATAAGTTTATTTTCTCTCAGGCATACTAATATGAAATTGGCCGCTACTCTCTTCTACTGAATCTTTACTTACAATTCATAAAAGATTTATTCTCTTATTCGATGTTAAATTCTCTGCAGTTTAAACTGTATCATTAAATATCGTAAGGTTCGATCTCCGGTAAAGTAAAAAAATGTGTGTCTTATAGGTTTTCATCTATGACGACAACAGAAGCAGGATTAAATAGTAGGTTATGAAAAGAACGCCCGCTTTAGTTCAGATCCTGTTATGTGTAATGAGAGCAGTAAGTTAGTAATTGTACACATTTGAGATAAGTATCTGTGCATAACTTCCTCTACTGTAAATTCCTATTTTATTTTTATTTGTAGTGTTCTGTCTGACGACAGGTCCATATGAACAGGATCCTTCCATCCTTTTCTCTTCTCGGACTGGGACCTGTTCATATACGTTCTTGGCAGATGATCCAGAAGTGGTTTGCCATTGCATTCTTCTGTGTGTGAATGGAGTAATTGTTGGGATGCCAATGAGGAAAACTCCGTGTTGCCTAGGCCACGGCCTTGCCCAACACAAGTTATAAATTCGGGCACCACCGGGAATCGAACCCGAGACCCCAGGATTACAAGGCCAGCGTTCTAACCGCTAGACCACCTCATCTTATTATTATTTAGTGTTCTGTCTGACGACAGGTCCATATATTATGAACAGGATCCTTCCAACCTCTTCAGGTTGTCAGGGACCTGCTCATACATATATACATTCTTGGCAGAGATGATCAGAAGTGGTTTGCCATTGCCTTCTTCTGTGTGTGAGTGGAGTAATTGTTGGGATGCCACGGAGAAACCGGGGAAGCCCCCGGAGGAAAACTCCGTGATGCCTAGACCACGGCCTTGCCCAACACAAGTTATAAATTTGAGCACCACCGGGAATTGAACCCGGGACCCCAGGCTTACAATGTTCGTATGTAGGCGTAACCTCCAGATTTCGCACCCGTCATCATGCTTATAAGCTTTTAACGTATAACATTTTTCGTGGAAAATTTATGTTTATTTATTTATGTTTATATATATATATATTATTTATCTGCATAGTGAATTGAACATACCTAGCTCCAGTGAGTCTGTAGTTATCGCAGGCAACAAAAACCTAATCGGGTCCGTAGATTTCGCGCGGCTGCCATGTTGTTTTAGTCGCAGACTGAATTTAAAAAAAACACTGTTTTTCGAAGATCTGTTACCACACAAAATTCCAGACTTTGCTTCATGAAGTATATCAGTGCTTCTCCCACATCAGAAATGGGTTCAAAACTTGTTAGTGTGACGTCACACAGACTTGATATCAACTTTTCGTTTGTTATGTGTTCTAATTGTACCGTGGTTCGGAAGGAAACAAAGTGTCTGACAGATACGCCTAGAGCAGGTTAGCTGAGCATTTCCGCCACGCTTCAGAGGCTGTTTTCTCTGGTCGACACGATCCCACTTGTGTTCCGTCGCACAGATATTTGGTTTCCAATATTCGGAAGGAAGAGAAAATTGAACCAAGTGACAAGGAAAACTTAAAATGGTTTTGTTTTTGTTGCGCGAAGTCTGCCAGCCTTCTGACTTCTCGTGCGCCTTCCTGTTTTACAATCATCAGGCAGTGTAATGAAATGTGTCACGTTGGCTGTCTGAAGGAAACTTCTCGAAGCGGTAGAGATGGATGTCAGCATTTTTAGCGGCAGGCGACTCCCGAATGACACAGAATTATAGGAAACGCGAAGTGATAGAACAGACAGCCCGTGACATAGTTCCATAAAGATTGATTGAGTATCGCTCTCTAAAGAAACGGGTATGACTTCGAATATTAATCGATAAAATTGTAATTTTTATGTGTGCTATCGGGTTCTCGCGGCGGTGAGAAAGGAGTTGACTGTCTTCCGGAATGTTGCGTAGTGTGGTCTGGGCGATGATGGTGGAGCAGGAAGTACCTCTAAAACTTCAGTAGACGTCTACCAGACTTCACAGCGTAATATCACAGAAAACAGTAATCTTCATTAAAAAAATTTATATTTTGAAACGTAGGCTATGAATAAAATAAATGTATTTAAAATTTTTACCAGAAATTTGAATGTAAAGCACCACTTCGGAGGCTTATACTTAGATCTTGGACCTTTTAAAGTGATTTTTGCTGGGGGTGGCTACCGGGATTCATTCATCGGCAGAGACAAGGAAGAAACTCGATACCACAAATGATGAAAGTTCTCATTATACAGTTGTACCCAATCTCCTTTTTACTTCAAGTTCGAATGTTCTTCTCAGCATCCCGGCCTCAAACACCATCAATCTATGTTATTCTGTCAGGGTGGAAACCGAATTTCATAGCCGTACAAAACAGCGGATTAAACTTCATGGAGCAAAGCTGATTTTCGGTCAGTCATTTGAGGTCAAAATTATGTTACAAAGGTTTTTACTCATGCTTTATACACAAAAACGGTATGATCTCTAACAGGGGTTATATTTCGCTAACGGGCATTTTAAAAATTGCATTTATTTCAACACATGTTCTGTGGGTTTCCTGTCGTACATCTTACCTTTTTAATATTTTAATTAATTTATTGATCTTTTACGCCATGTGTATGTCATATTATTTTATCTCGTGCTGTTATTTTTAGCGTTTGACTGTCTGTTCGTGTAAGTTATACGGGTTGTTGCAAACATTAGGTTCTTTTACTGCCTGGAGTTGATCGGTTTTAATTATACTAGTATTTTAAGCATATAAAGCCTGTTACATTAACTATCATCCAAGAATTGGTCTTTCTCTTTCTGGTATGAGCTCTGTTTTTTCCCCGTTAAGAATTATAAGAAAGTAATATATATTTTTTTGAAATTCTTATTCCTTATTTATTTTTCTTGATAATCGTCCACTGTATGTTGAACTTGCGATCTTTCTATAATAGAAGATGGCTGGCTATCTTCTGGGTTGGACCTCTAAAACGTTGGTAAACTTCTACCATACTGCAGGACACTACAACCCAGAAGACAGCCATCTTTGTGCCCACCGCCGTGAACACCTTAAATCCTACTTTCTCCAATAGGTCTTTGTTTGGTACAATTTTTCAGGTCCCATCAGGGTCGGTTACAAATCCTCAAACTCACCTCTCGTTTTCATATTGATGCTCTGTTGTGTAATTCTGATTAAGTCAGGGTTGTCGTTTTTATTGAATCTTTTATTATATCGACCTTGCTGCTATATGTTTTCTGTTCACAGTCCATTTCATTTTTAAATTCTGAACTTCTTTTTCTTAAAAATCTGAATTTCGTAACTTGTTCAGATACTTTCCCATCTGTCATTAACTTAAAGCCTTTTTCTCGTGTTAATATAATTGTTACGGATGCCCATAAAGTCATTTTCTTATGTTCTTATTTTTGTGTTAGTTACATCGGTGGTGATCGAGCTCCCAACCCTTCGAAGGGAGAACCGCTGTGCACTGTCCCTACATGTCTCAGCAGGCACTCATCCGTCGTGCTCATATGTATACGTATTATTCGATGCTCGCGTCATGCAACTTCACTGATTGATGCATATTTTAATTTGCAATAACACTTCAAATTGTGCGATACACATCTCGTCGGTAGCCTAATTAATTCACTCAAAAATTTGTTTGTAGGAAATCGACCAACCCTCAAGGCAGCCACTTTGTGGTGCCCATCAAAGGCTACCGCAAATTAATTTGAAACGTCATGAACGGAGAATACCATGTCTGCTTTTCTTGTTTCATTCGATGTCATGTGTCAGCAAATATGAAATGAATATACAAAGTGAGTATGCGTCTTCAGGAATAGAGTAACCTGAATTTAACTGATAACAAAATACAGTGCTTATTATCGCAGTCTGTATTTCGCTTCTGCTCTAACTGCTGAGATCTTCAATGCCTAGATCTGTTTCTGTGCAACACAGTTAGAATCCAGGTTATTTAACTGTGTTTAAGGCTCTACCTTGGGACCTCTCTTATTTAATATTTTTATTAACGACCTTTGCGACAAAATTAAGTATTCTAAAATTTCTCTTATTTCCTGATAATTTGAAACTATATGGTGATATTAAATCTTTGGATGACTGCAGAGCTCTTCAAGCAGATATCGATTCCGTACATGAGTGGTGTGATAATAACAATATGGAACTTAACATTGATAAAACCAAAATTATATCGTTCACTCGTAAAACCAACAGCATCCATTTTAATTACATTGTTAGTGACTTTTTAATCTTGCGTACTAATTGTATAAATGATCTTGGTGTTTTATTAGACAGTAAACTGTATTTTCACTCTCATGTAAATTATGTTTATTCCCAGACACTAAGGACCTTAGGTCTTATTCGTTTTATTACTTATAATTTTTCCTCTCTATACAGCCTTGTTGTTTTATATAAAGATTTAATTAGGTCAAAGCTTGAGTATGCCTCGGTCATTTGGAATAATCTTACACAGACAGATTCAAATAAATTAGAAAATGTTCAAAGAAAATTTGCCAGTTTGTGCAATTAC